ACCTGTGCTAATTTCATCTTCAGGGTTTGAAAGCAGCAAAATTCCCCAAGTAATGTAATGCATGTCTTTCCCAAACAGGAGAAAAGTTGTAGGAGTGACTTGTGACAAAAGGGTGGCAGCAAAGGTCTAAAGAAAAGTTTACAAACAGTGGTGAGACCAGCTATGTTATATGGTCTGGATGGAGACAGTGGCATTGACAAAAAGACAGGAAAAAGAGCTGGAAGTAGTAGAAATGAAGATGTTGAGGTTCTCCTTATGAATGACAAGGATGGATAAGATTAGGACTGAGATTATCAGAGGTACAGCACAGGTTGAACAACTGGGAGATAAAGTTAGAGAGACCAGACTGAGATGGTTTGGACATGTCCAGAGGAGGGACCGTGGATATATTGGTAGAAGGATGTTAGAAATGCAGCTGCCAAGAAAAAGACAAAGAGGAGATATATGGATGCAGTTAGAGAGGACATGGAGGTAGTTGGAGTGAGGACAGAGGATGCAGAGGACAGAGTGAGGTGGAGGAGCATGACTTGCTGTGATGACCCCTGAACAGGGAACAGCCAAAAGAATATTAAGATGAGTGTTTTTGAACCTGACTTATTGTAAACAACTGGCGGAGTCATATTTTACAACATAGAGTTTTTCTACAGAACATCTGTCATCATTCCACTGTCTGACACTTTTCTTTGTTTTTTTTTTTTATAATTTCTTCTGTTCAAACATCATTTTTCCTCCATAGATTTTTCTCTGTGTCCCAACCGGTGTCGCTCCACCAGTCAGGGTTGGTGGATGCAATCGATCAGAGCAATTTCTTTCACCGAGGACATATTGGACGCGCTGTAGAAGTTATGAGTCAGTGAATTACGTTTGATCAAAATAGGAGAGTTGCATTTTCCGTTTTTGTTTTGTTCTATTTTTACCAACTTTTGCTGCTTCTTCTTCTTCTTTCTCTGTGCCCGTTCCTATAAGTCACTGATACATTTGCATACAGCAATCAGATGTGACGGCTGCTCAGCAAAGACTTGCTTCACATTTGAAGGGATAAATGGGATCAGACAGGCTGGAAGATGGATGTTTCAGAGCTCTAATCCTCTCCTACTCAGAATACAATTCCTCCCTCTTTCATATGTGCCTTAATTCTGGTTTAAAAATTCACATGGCTAACTTTTCTTTTCATTCCTTTTGTTTTTACACCACTGCATTTCTCCCTAGATGTACGTAAACTGTAAATATTGTTCCATATTTTGATGCTGAAAGTGCAACTCGAATGACTGAGATGAAAATTGTGCTTCAATAATGATTGCTTATCATCTCCATTGTATTGCTTTTCTGTAACATTGGGTGTGCAGTGGGGTCTGCAGAAGGGCTGAATGAATCCCCGTATATTGTGTTTCTTTGTTGCCATGGAAGTGACAGCATCTTCTGGCTTCAAGTGATGGATGTCAGACGGATGTCAAATTATACTCCGGCTTCGAACCTATATTGTGGTTATCTATGCAGTCACATATATAGAAACAAATTATGAAGAGCCCCCCCCCCCCCCCTGATTTTTATGCATTCTTCATTTCAGCTGATCTTTTCCATCTGCTCACAGTCGGACCAGGACTGAGACAGCAACACAATTACATCTTATGGGGAGATTTCAGTTATCGTTGTCTGGCACACAGTAGCCAATGAAAAATTAAAAATTTCTGCAGGCAGAAGGAGTCAGCATGTCTATACAGATCTGTCAATGCAATACAGATCTTCCACCACCATCACCTCCACCCTCAGAGTAAAACAAACGAGGTCCTATCTTGCGGCCTGCAGCTCAGCTTCCAGTGCAGAATAGCAATTAAGTCGGGAGAATGTGCATCGCAACTCGGACATTCAGAAAGCACTACTAAAGCTGAGCATTCAGACAGAGGATGCACGACGGTCCTTCTGTAGGAGCATGTAATATTTAACAGTACAGCAAGCATTAATCTAATCAGAGCATATTGCTTCTGTCAACTCTAATAGTGACACTGCATTGTTTCTGACAAATTGAGGGTCTGCTGTGCTCAGCATACATCTGCAAACATCCTTTTCCCCACAGGATCACCTTCAGATTATTCATAATACAAGAAGATGACATTTTTTTCAATGAAATAAATTGAATTTGTGTCTTCTAAGATCATAATAGGTGTTAGAAGACACAGATTTAACATTTTTCATAAGATCATAATAGGTTTTTGTGTGTAGCAGCATGAGGTTTTCCTGATCAACCTCTTTACAGAGTAATGAGTTAGTAAGAGACACAGGAACAGCACACCAATACAATCAGGGTGACCCATGTAAATATGTTAGCTAAACTTTGCCAAACCCTTTACTACAGTCCCACAGATGATCCAGCATTTTTCACATTTGGGATGAATTGTTGAAGGCAGAACAAAAAAGTGGCTTCCTTGTTGAGGAAGGGGCTGCCAGTTTGTGGAGCTTATAGGCTTTAAAGCTCACTGTTAGTGTCTGAGGTAACAAATCTAATGCAGATAATCTATTTAAGAGAGCCTTGACGTCCTTTTCAGGGACACCACCAAGTCATTGGTTCAGGTATGTTGACGACACCTGGGTTAAAATTAAATCTACGGAAGTCCAACATTTTACTGACCACATCAACTCTGTGGATAAATACATCAAGTTCACACGAGAAGATGTAAAAAATGGCAGGTTGGCTTTCTTGGACTGTGAGGTCTCAGTCTCTGATGGAGGACATTTGCAAACTGAGGTGTACCGCAAACCCACCCACACAGACCAGTATTTGCAGTTTGACTCCCATCACCCTTTGGAGCACAAGTTAGGAGTCATCAGGACTCTGTACCACAGAGCAGACAGCGTCCCCACTAGCTCAGGAGCCAGGCAGAAGGAGAAATCCCACACAAGACAGGCTCTAGAGCAATGTGGATATCCTAACTGGGCCTTCCTGAAAGCAGAGAAGAAACCCAAACAGGACTCCAGTCAGTCATCAGGTGAAAAGGAGGAACCCAGGCCAGTGGTCATTCCACATGTTGAGGGAGTATCAGAGAAACTGAGACGTTTATTTTCTAAACACGTCATCCCAGTGGCTTTTAAACCTCAAAATACATTACGGCAAAGACTGGTTCATCACAAAGATCCAGTCCCCCGGCACAAACAGAGTAATGTTGTGTATGCTGTTCAGTGTCAGGAGGGCTGTGATCAGTCTTACATCGGGGAAACAAAACAGCCACTGGCCAAAAGGATGGCCCAGCACAGAAGATCAACATCATCAGGCCAGGACTCTGCGGTCTACACTCATCTCCAGGCCAGCGGTCACTCTTTCAGGGATGAAAATGTTCACATCCTGGACAGAGAGGAACGATGGTTTGAGAGAGGAGTAAAGGAGGCCATCTTTGTGAAAAGAATTCGTCCATCGTTAAACAGGGGTGGAGGCCTCCGTGTTCAAATGTCCCCCTCTTACAATGCTGTGATTGCTAGTATCACTCAGCCCTCTGTGAATATTAAACAGCCATCAGTGTGCTAATGATCCATTGTTAGGCTGATGGTCCTTCTTGAGCATGTGATCAGCTGGTTTTGGTTGTCAGCAGCAAACTGGTTGATCCACTCTGAGAAGGTGCTATTTAAGAGACTGAGCTGAATACAGCACCTCAGACTGAAGAAGTCTTTCGGATGAAAGACAAAACGTTTCTACATTTTTTTGTTGATTTGCTTTGTTTTGTTTTTTGAATATCCAGAGGACCAGATTGAACTTTTTTGGATTTTTCTACCTGGATTATTGAGCATGCATCAGGAAATCTAACGCAGGATAAAAAGCTCAATGTGTTCTTTTCTTTGACATACAAAAAGACATAAACAGACGGCACAAGATAATCACTGTTGGCACGACCATGTACAACAATGATGATTAAAGACCTAGCATTGCTTGAAGGAATCAGCCACTGCCTTTCAAGCCAAAGTTTTAACTGAATATCATTTTGTGTTGAGAGATCAGGAAGTTACAGCTGCTTTGATCAAAACTCAAAAACACCATTATGTGGAATGTCACAGGGTAAAGGGACATTCTTCACATTTAGTTAGTGCTTTCAGTATGTGTTGGGGATAACTCTAAGCTACCACCACATTAAGTGTTAGGGTAATATCTGTTTTACTGACGGAGTTATAGCCATTTTTGTATTTGCTAAATTCAACCATCTGAGGCAACCATCTAAAATCAAGTTGGCTCCGTAACGTAATCTGTTTCAGCTGTACAGTCACTGATTATTTTCTGAAAGTCTCATTTCAATCTGTTCAGCGGTTCATGAAATAATTTGCTGACAGATGGAGACGACTCCAAAAATTAATGGCAACGTTTTTAACAATTAAGTCAGATGATCTCAGATTCAGACTGTGTGTTGTGGATGACTCTCAGCTACCACCAAAATTTAACAGAATTTATGTCAAATTGATCATTATAGCCATTTTTGTGTTTACTGAGGTTGATTAGCTGTGGAGGCCATCTTTAATCGAGTTGACTCCAAAATGTAATAAATTGTAGATGTGTCTTTTATTTTCTGAAAAATTCATCAACATTTGTTCAGTGTTTTGAGATATTTGGTTGTTTTGATATTTTACTGTCATACCTGCACACAGTCAGGCAAAAGTATGTTTCCACCTTTCCCTATATTAACAATAACAATCATTGTAACGTGTCATACATGTAGGTTAAATTAATAATAAGTTTATGTATGTACTTAATTTAAAACAATGATGTTTCATTTCATTGTAATGTCAGCTGGAAACAGTATAGAACAGAATCACCTGTTTTGCTCTGTTATTTCCAGTTTTTAAAGCATCACCAGCAAAACAACAGAAAATGTTTTATGGGATTATATGTCATCAGACGGGCTCACAGTGTTCCTATCACCCCACCCCCCAACAACAACAACCCCCCACTACCACAAACACGCACACCATACTTGAGTCCTTCTATCCCAGCATGCACCCCATAAACACATCGGTGAACCTACCCGCTTCCTCCGCGTGGACCTGATCTGCGCTGCACACTCTCCGGCGACTTGAAAGAGAAATGATCTGATGGAAAGAAAATAAATCGATGTGTCCCACTTCAGATCACCGAGGGGCTGTTCTTGTTGTTGATGGTAGGGGCTCAGACTAACTGCGGCTCACAGTCTGTCCATCGCAACCGGACGCTGAGAGGAAAGTGCTGGATGAGGCTCCACTCACTCTGATATGCAGCTTTGGCTCGCCCCCCACCCTCCACTCCCTCTCTCTCCTGCTTCCACCGGATGCTCTCTCCTCCTGTAGTCACAGACTCGTCTAATTATCTGCCTGCAGGGATTTTTCTTTGTGTGTCTGCACATGTAGTGCATCTCTTCACTTCCTTTGTTGTGTGAAAACTCATATTTCACTTTTCACATGCAAATATTATTTTCCCATAGAAACAGTTTTTGATATTTTAACTTCCTTAAAATGTTTTTCTCTATGAAATTTGATTCAGTGAACATGTAATATTTTTGTCTTCCTTTGCTACTTTTAGCTTTTGTCTACAGTTTTGCTACATACATTCTTAGTCAGGCTTTTGATATATTTTAGCCAATCTTTTGCTACTTTTAGCTAGGTTTTTAATACTTTAACTACCATTTTGTCACATATACATACGCTATGTGTTCAACATAATGGTACTTCTTCCAGCTATCTAACTGTTAGAAATGGTGTACCACAAGGTTCAGTCTTAGGACACACCCTCTTCACAATCAACATAAGTAATGTAGGTCATATCCTTCCTGATGCATCCTTACATTTCTATGCTGACGACACAGTAGTTTATTGTCGAGCTAAAACAGTTGCTAAGGTTTTCATTTACAGTCTGCTTTCGACATCATCCATTCAGATTTGTTCCATTTCAAACTTGTGCTAAATGCTGATAATACCAAAGCGATGTTTTCAAACAGTAAGTTAGTTCCAGCAGATCTTCCTTCTATTTTATCTTCGAATGGTGTCCCTATTGAGTTTGTCGATTCGTATAAATACTTGGGTATCTTGATAGATTTGCATCTCTTTTTTAAGCCCCATGTTGAAAACTTGGTAAAGAAACAGAAAGTTAAACTGGGTTTCTTTTTTAGAAACAGATCCTGTCTAACCCTGAATGCTAGGAAACATCTTGTAACTGCTACGTTTCTTCCCTCCATTGATTACGGTGACATTATTTACATGAACGCTCCTATGAGCACCCTGCAGATGTTGGATGCTGTCTATTATGGTGCACTAAGATTCATAACTGGCTGTGATTATCGTACCCACCACTGCACCCTGTGTTCACTGGTTAACTGGACATCATTAACTTCACAGAGACTTTCTCACTGGTACAGTTTCATCTTTAAATCATTTCTTGGTCTGCTGCCTTCATACATCTCCTCCTACATGTCTCTGCGTGAGTGCAGCTACAGCGTGCGCTCTCAGGACATTATTACCTGCAGTGTTCCCTCAGTGAGGACTGAACTAGGCAAAATGGCCTTCTCCTACTCTTCTCCTGTATCATGGAATACCTTGCAAAAAGATCTGAAGCTCTCGACCTTGACCTCTCGAAGTGGCTTCAAACATTTGCTAAGTTGATGGCAAAAACCAATGCAGACATGTTCCTGTTTTTAGTATTCTACGTCACTTTACAGTATAATGTAGCTGGTTTTTTTGTTCTTATATCATTTCTTCTATGCACTTTTCATTATTAATGCTTGTTTATGAGTGTCTATTGTTTTCTGTACCTCAGCTGTGTTCTTTGTTTAAAACAGGTCTCTCTTGTGTATGAGTCCTTGTGGCTCAATGAGACTAACCTGTATAAATAAAGGTTGAATGAATACGTAATTTTGGTACATTTAGTTAACCTTTTTGCTACTTTTTAAATAAATTTAGCTGATTTTAGTTAGTATTTTGATACTTTAAGCCTTTTGCTGTGTTTATTTTTAGCTAGTGTTTTGCTACGTTTAAATTTTACCCAGAGTTTCTATTTTTTTTCAGTTTATACTAGTGTTTTTAACAATTTGGCTAGTATCTTTCTACATTTAGTTTTTCACCAACATTCAGTTTGTTTTATATTTTCCAACTCAATTTCAGCTTTGCCAGTAAGTTTAAATAAAGCCCTTCAGTTGTCAGGATTGACACATTTCTACTGAAAGTGTTATTTCTGGGTTTATAATGTAAATGCTGAGTCAGCATTCACATGATTGTTTTCCTGTTTATGGTCCTCTGGAGTGAGTTCAGATTTCAGAACCATGGACAGCAGCACTTTGTTTGAAGGGTCACAAAGGTTAATCCTCCACGCTCTGATGTGGACAGACGTTCCCAGGTCAGATTTGTGATTGTACTGATGACTAGAAACACAAGTAGAAAGCCACAGGAAGAAAAAAAAACTGATCAGAAAAGTGTCCTTTCTGTCAGCTGTCTTCAGGCTGAGACATAGAATGTGTTAAGATTACACTCTGTTTACCTGACCTTCACGAACGGCCTCCAGATGTTCTGTTAAATTTTATTTTTAGGCATTAGCTTTATTTCATATGTTGTGCAGGAATTCTGCAGCACAGTTGCCAACTTATGTAATCATACTTGACAAATGAACTTAAAGCCCCCTATGCGGGAACTAATCATCCAGTACTCTGATTTTATCTGACTAGTGTTGTAACTGTATTTTTTCTATTGCTGAAGTTCAGTTATTTTAAATACTGTGGTAAAATCCTACTTGGGAAAACCCATTTTCCTTAACATATTTCCGCTGTCCCAGTGGTTCCCAAAGATGGGGTCAGCACTCCATGTGGCTCATGAAAGGAAGCGTTTAAAATGTCATAGAGGTGCAAACAGTGTCAGATTGGGTGATGTGTCTAAAGGGAGAAATAGATGGCCTTATGTTGAATATTGTCAGAGGTTATGCTCCACAGGTTGGATGTGAAGTAGAGGAGACAGAGAGATTCTGGATGGCTCTATGAAGTGATAAAAACTATTCCCCGGGAGGAGAGAGTAGGCAGGTTGGTGTCAGTTAAAGTAATCGGGAAGGACAAATGCTGGTGGACTTTACCAAGAGGATGGAAATTACTGTAGGCAACACCTATTTACCAAACGGGAGAACATAGGGTGACCTATAAAAGAGTTTGCAAGTAAATTCCATTCTGTGTGAAGAGCTAAACCAATGGAGATTTGGGGACTGTAAAGCTGTGGCAGTGGAGAGTGTAGTTCTCCCTTGTAGTACTTTGTTGCACCACCTCTGACTTTTCTAACAGCTTGAATTCTCAGAGGCTTGGATCTACCTATTACAAACAGTACTCTCCATCCTTCTACCACTATTTGTTTCTAAATGCTGTGGCCAAATCAGCTTTTCAAGTCGGAGCCTTGTCATTGGCTGTTTTGTCCACATTTTCACCAGAGATTTTCAACTGGATTGAGATACAGACTATTTACAGACTATGCCATCCACTTCATAGTATGCATGTATGTTATTATTAAAGGAAATCTAAAAAATATTAAGTCAGGTCCTCTGGACATTTTTAGATTTTTCTACCTGAATTATTGAGCATGCATCAGGATTTCTTGAAGGAAAGTTTTCCTGTCCTTTGCCCTATGGCAAGCTACAGTATAAATGTAAAAGGATTCAGGCCATCATCACCAAACAATGGCAGACATTACAATTTATGCTTACTTGTTTTAAATTTGTTTTGTTGAGCATTTTCTGTTTTCAATACATTTTGCTTTAAGTTTTATAACTTGACACCTTGATGTCTTCCTTGTTGTACCAGTACTGTATTCTTCCCTTTTACAATTCTCCCATTTTTCTTTGCACTTGGTCCAGATGTTAGACACAGCTGATGGAACAACTAACATCTTTAGCATCATTTCATTATCATTTTTATCTTTTTTTTTTTTTTTTTCATTTTATAACGGTCACTTTGATTTCACCTGACATGTTGTGTTGGTGCCATAATTAATTTCAATCTGCTTTATATGAGGCGTGAGCGCAGTTTTTCTTTACTGAAGACTAGTTAGCAGGTTTAATTTGATGAAAGTGTTTGTTGTAGAACTGCAATTTACAGAGTGCGTTCACATTTTTCCTCTAATTTGAGTAATTACATTTTTTTTCTTGATCTTAAACCTAATTGTGATTGTATGCAGTGATCATATTTCATTCTCATTATTGTCTTTATTTTTAACAGATGGTTGGAATTTGAATAAAGATAAT